GGCCTTGGTGTTGGGACCAATACCCGTCTCATTGGCCGCTTAAGTAACCCACTGGGTATCCGCTGCCCTGAAGTCAAGTTGTGCTGCTCTTCGGTGAACAGTGCTCTCACTCTCCGAGACGTCGGTAAAACTATACCAGCATATACTGCTTTTGGATGTGCTGAGCAGTTTGAGACTGCACCACTATCTGTTGATCTCAGTTAAACAGTGGTTTTGAATTTCCCACCACTCTTGTGTGTCATGCAGTCAAGGAAGTGTAGTTTGCTCGATGTGGACTCTAGCCCCATGCTAATCTTAATGTGATATTGAAAGAAGCTGTCAACTTTATCCCTCTTCATCACGACAAACTTGTCATCTAGGTAACGCCAAAAAACCCTTGTGGACACTCGAATCCGTTTGAAGCTTTCTATTCAATGTCTTCCATGTACATGTTGGCCAGGAAATTAGTGATCCCATCGCTAGACTTTGCTCTTGAGAGTATATCATTGAGTCAATAACAAAATGACTGTGGTTTAGGCACACTTTTATGCCTTCAACAGTCTCGTCGACGGAGAGTTGTGTTCGTTCTTGCAGCGTTGTGTCTACCAGAAAAGCCTTCTCGCTACTTCCACAGCGTCCGCTTCAGGGACATTCGTATACATCGAGTTGACATCAAGGCTAACGACCATTTCGTCTAGCTTCAACTGAAACCCAGTTACTTTTTTGGAAAGTCACGAGGATTTTGAATGTGTGTGAGTGGCTTGTAGGCAGGCGTTTTAAGGATTCCTGCCGAGAAATCCGGCCAGCACATGTGGTGGCGAACCTGTGCCATCCACAATCGGTCTTATGGGGGCACCTTGCTTGTGAATTTTTGGTAGCCCGCAAACTGGAGGTTAGATTTTGGGTACAATCGATACCACTTGCCTTGCCCCAAATGGTTCATCACCGATCTTAGATACCTCCCAACTTCAACCTTACTATTATTCATTATTGACGTGATCGTCCCATTACTAATTTGTCGGTAAGGCCCGTCAGTTACGTGTTGTCTAACTCTCTGTGGGCATTCACTTTTATTTATGATGAATGTGGCGTTTTACTGCCGTAATTACTATACTCTCTGAATGTTTTAATTTGTTTAAGGCTCTACGCTCTGCTGGTACATTGTTTGGAATTACTAGTTGCTGGGACTTCAGGACTGTGACCAAGTGTACATGTAATTTCTCCGCTTTTATTGAAGGAAGCTTCTGAAACACAAACTCAACACTAGAGATGATCTCTTCTGCAAAATTCCATCCCTTCTCTAACAGACAACGTTCTTCGTCACTTAAGCGTCTACCTGATAAATGGACTACCCTGCAATAGGTAGCAGATTCCTTACTCTTTTTTTATTGTGCTAATAGAACAGCGGGTAGTGAGAAGCAGTTTCTCGAACTTACTTGTTTGTCCTTGCACTGTTTACCTTGAGCTGGTTTTACTTCATCCGCTTTGGTTTCTAGTAATCCGAACTCAGCGGGCGAGGGTGCGTGCTAAAGGCTATGGTTGAGGCGACATGCCCGGTGGTGGATAGCAGTTAAACTTTGGGTGGTTAAATGGATTCTCTGGCTGAGGAATAACTTGGCCGCTGAGGAAGCAATTCGGGCAGAAGCCAGGGACGCAAGTGATGGCTTAACAGTCAGAGGTTTGGGAAGTGTGTTCTGTTTCATGCATCTAATGTTGAAACGCGATGGTGCTCCCAGATTGTCTTCAATCTTGCCACTCGAATATATTCACTTGACAGCTTTCGAAGAGAGGTTTTTGATCGGTCGAGATGACACGAGGCGGTGTGCAGTTATCAGGAAAATGGTCTGAATCTAAAAGCACAAAATTCAAGCGGAGCAAGATCCAATTAACCAACTTCATCCAAACCCTAAACCAATTGTCCCAACACAGCTCGACGAACACAGGCGAACAAAATCTGTGAACGATCCTATTCCATTAAGGTGTCTTAGACAGGCCACAAAATCCGCTTTCACGATGGCGACAACTCCCTCCTAACCAAACCCCCGTAACCAATAAACAGGAACATCAGACCGACAACCAGAGCTGATCAAATCGGTTAGCCATAAGAAATCTCACGGACTGGTTTCCCAACTGTCTTAAAAACTGATCAACCTGCTTATTTATTCACGTGGCCTGACGAAGGTTTTGTGTCAAAAGCGAAGCATTGCCCAACACTCAATCCACCGATTGTTGACCAAACCTATCTGAAACGATGAGTACCCAGTCGATTGAACACATTAGGTCAAATTGTATTCACGTTCGTGCAATTATCGAACATGAGTGGATACCCCCTTCTTCACAGTGCACACAATGATTAGGCAAGCAAACCAACCCTGAATCCACTCGCGCGCACAGGACAGGAAGTCAGCTGAGCTCCACAAGCCTCCGCAGGCAACTACGGGACACATGTAGAAGCTAAACTGCACAGAAGACTCGTCCCGCCTCCAGAACTTCACTCCGAAACTATTAGCAGTTGTCCTCCAACGACATATCACTTTTTGGCTTATCCCCTTCTGGCATTGTATTAATTTTTATCAAGTGCCCATTACCGGAAGGGTACTACGGCTGAATGTTTACTAGTATTTATTACTCAGCCGTTCCATTTCCACTTTCTACTATCTGCGGAGTAATTGTTACATGAATTTTACATGTCAGAGACAAGAACATCTTGCTTTACGTATCATCAGTCCATTAACTTTGTCTTCGTATCCAGGTTGAAACGATAGGTGATAAAGCTCCCTCTTATGGTGTACGTAGTGGGGATTCACAAATAGGTGAAACGCAAATGCTTCGGTCGTTTACTGAAGCCATGCATCAGCAAATCGCAAAGAGACATGTAAAGTGGAATTTCCTACGACAGATAAAGCAGTTACGATTCAACGGATGGACGTCCTATGCAGTTTTCCCTAGACTTGTGTAGGTGGACCATTGCTTCGTGTGTAATTCTCTAGAGCGGCAACCGTCGTTGCTATTTGGCGTTTAGCGTTGGCGCTCTCAAAATGGGGTCGGGTATCGCTTATTAGGCGGTCTGATTTTGAAACCGATTCCTCCTGACCTTCGCGTTAGACGGAGGTGAGATGGCTCAGTGGTTAGAGCGCGAATTTACTAACCGGAAGGTCCGTGGTTCGAACCCAACATCTACCTCTAGATATTCCTTGTCTAGAGTTGGACAACCTGGCAGTATCCCAGCCCTTGTGTTTCTTTAGGGTGGCGTGGCAGCCAGGCACCGAAAGAGCGTTACAGCTGAACGATTATCTTTATTTATCGCGTCACACGTCAGCTCGATGTTCCACAATTCAATTCCTTCAATTCCATCGTTGAGCGACGGTTACCCAAATCTCATTTATGGAGAGGTGCGCACTGGTATTTCTTAATCTGCGCTCGTTCGATATAACTTGAACATCACCAAAGATCACAAAAGCGGTCAGCTTAGACGGGATAATAGCTTTCCAGTTCAAAATAGGTGAGGATAATAATTGCTGGGGCCAACCTGTTCAGTAAATCTTGATTCTAATCGGTGTAGCGTTACTTCAAACCGAAAACATCTTTGTAAACATAATCAGATTCCAAAGCGAATTTGCACACCTGACAATTTGCATCTAAGAAGACAAAGTTGTCTGGTAAACAAACATACCAGCCTTAGTTTAGAACAGACTTCGCAATCATGTGATTCTGATCTGCTCTCGTCCGGCAAATGAGTGGCTGCTATCTAAGTCCTACTTGCTAGTCAATCGTGATCAAAGCCCTGGGTGGCTGTGCGTAATAAGAAGCCATAGGTGTTTTGTGTGGAGCCGAATGTGGTACCGCTCATGAACCGCAGACACGTATGTCTACCCGAGGGAAAAAGATCGGTGGACGAACGAGTTGAGACCTGTTGCACGCCATCAGTCGGCCCAAATATTGTGGTATAAAAATGGGCGATAACACCGGTTACCTGTTCATCGTCAATATTCGACGTCATCCGTCAATCTCTTCAATTTTCAGCGTTGTCAGTGGAATCAAACTAAAACTTCAACTTGCAGACATACCAATTGACTTAGTAGGCAAATCTGTTGACCACGGCGGTTGTGTAAGTTCCGGTGGACTGACTGGAGGCGAGATTATATATCGGGTAGGGAAAGTCCCAGTAGCTTTTGCCAACCTCCGTTACCGATGGCGCCGGTATGACGTCAGCGCTTCTGTCAGAGGCAGAGTATACACTAGTGGTACAATCCATACTGCTTTGTGCATCAGAAACACGGCCTCTGAGCGCAGAGGACACACAAAAGCTGCCAGTGTTCGAATATCAGTGTCTTCCAAACATTGGCATTAAGAACACCAGGTTAGCAATGCTAAGGTGTGCCAGATGATTTTTACGGCGAAAATAACTCTTCCACGATTGGTGAGCTACTCAGGCTTCATAGGTTACGGTGTTTAGAACACTTACTTCGCTTGCCAGGCGACCGTCTCCCCTGCCAACTGCGTCGACGCAAATCTCAGTACACCGGGAAAAAAGTCGTGTTCCCATATAGAACTATTATTGCCGTGACTTGCTAGTTTATAGTTCGGGCGTGAGTTTGGAGTGGGGTCTTTGGCAGTATAAGTTCAAGACCATCATGTATCATTAAGGGATGCTAGACTGTGGGCAAGCTGAAAAATATGTACCATGTGTGTGTGGAGCGGTGCGCAGCAGGATATGCTCAATATCTTGTTGGACCACACGTCACTTCAACACAGTAGAACGTTTGTACCCTGGTGTGGTTCACGACTGAGCTCAATTTACCAGCTCGCGCGTGCAATGCGCAGCTACTTATCCCCCAATCATCGGTGAACGAAACTGTGGCAGCTACAACCAGTGTACGACCAGTACGCGGTTAGCTGAGCTGATAATGATGATGATGATGGTTCACGACGAATTCCGGAAGCAAATGCATACATGATTACTCCACTCTAATCGGTAATTCCTCCCATGCTTGCAGTGTAATAAAAACAGTCGGGGAATGATGAATAGCTCACTGGTTCACACAGTCTCTCAAAGTGCCATTGGTACATGCACCGTGGCACGAAATGTAAGCGTTAGAAACAGGTACCTGTAAGTGTATTTCTTGCAAGGCAAAAGGTCGCAAGCAGTTTCCGCGACAGTCCACCGTGGAGAAGCTGGTCCTGTGTCTAACGGAAATGCACACACCCGTTCTTTTCTGGACAGCTTTTAACGTGGTGTACCCGTATCAGGTTCACTTTGAACACGATGAATCTGATAAGTATGACATTGTCGTTTCTTTCTATCGCTATTTCGTTGACTTCGTTGTGTTTTCATCTGCAAATGCCTTGGCAAATAATTGAGAACCCTGATTTCAGCAAGTGATCATATGCAAGATGATCGGCAATCCATGCTAAAAGTTTCATGGCCAAATTTACAATGCCAATCACTCAGTGGTCGTTTCTGACATCCCAAGCGGTTTTGTATGAACTTGGCCGAGCTTGAAGGGCACTGCTTTACTCATTTTAAAGAAGCCCTGTTCCAACTGAAACTAATTGGCTGATTAGACAGAAATAATGAACGAGACTAATTACACACACACACACATCACATGTATGCATCTCTCAGCGGCACCATAAGGTCAAGCTCATTACCAAGTGTGGTAGCAACTCCAGGACCGGTTGATCAGCCTTGGGTCCTGTCTAGGAATTCCGATCTGTTCAATTCCAACACACGAGCGCTTGCACAGTTCACTTGGTAAAAACACCCCCATAATTACAGCGAATTCCCACGGAGTTATTGAATTTTCAGCTGATATCTTAACGCACGTGGTTTGAAAGATCATGCGGTCTGACCCTGACAAGAACTCGGCTTGTTTACGCGACGCACCAGAACGTAAACTATCACCTGCTTCGGCCCGAAATTTGCACTGTCTAGTGACCTACAAACAATGGATACAAAGAGGCAGAAGCGCTCACATCTGTTTACCACATTGTAACTGATGGTCAGCCTTTGGAAAGGAGGGCGTAAGCAAAAGGGGGGGGGGTAGGATGCAAATGCCAGGAGTGCAAACTTTCAAAGATGGATGGTTGGTTTTTACTCAGATAAAACCATCTTCCCTGTCCGGTCTACTGCATCTTTGTTTTGTACTGCATGCAAGTTTTCTGCAGTGACAGACTGAAAACGGAACTTCTTCCCCTCAATCTTAAGGAAATGAATGAAATGGCTCAGATTAAACGCTACTATCAGCAGTCTAATTGTGGCGGTAGTGGTTAGCTTTGATTTTATCAACTAGACAAAATTGTGTAAACTTCTCTTCGGTCTGTGATAAATTTTTTATCTGACGATCCAGCTGGTTGCGTTGGACTTTAAAATTCTAGAAAAATTAGGTGATGTGACCTCGTTTAGTGAGTCTTCTCAAGAGGAAAAGCGTTCAGCTGTAGCACCCTTCCGGTGCCTAGCTGCCATGCCACCCGAAGGAAGCACGAGGGCTGGGATACTGCCAGGTTGCCCAAGCCTAGACAGGGGAAGTCGAGTGGCGGAGGTCGGATTCGAACCGCGGACCTTCAGGTTAGTAATCCGCGCTCTAACCACTTCGGCCATCTCAAGAGGGGAAATAACGACGTATCCTTCATAGATCGGTCGTAGCCCATCTGGTCGATCGAACAATTCAGAACGATCTTGCAACAGCTTGTAAATCTGTTTAAGAAGTTCCATCACGATTGCCGAAAGTAACTACATCTAGGGTTGCGGCCATTACCGAAACCGTTGTTCTGCGCACTTACAAGCCTCAACTTTGTATTCAGGGCAGTGTTGTACAGACACTGACTCTCATATGGCCAGAAAACCACATCTTAGTGCCTCATAACTCTCAACACGGTATCGATTTTGGTGAACACTAATATTTTACCGGATTCTGGTTCAATCTGTTGATTGGTTTTGTCTTCACCATAAATATGCTTGAGCCAGACAGGGTAATATCAGAAAGGTGGCCTTTACCCTTATTGCGTGATTCTCAATGATACTGTGGGGTTGGACAAAACCAGCGATTAGGAGCTGTTTGAGAACATCCAAAAACTGCGAACTCGTTTCGGTTAGAAGACCCCAGGGAGGGAGTGCAGTATTTTATAGATTTAACGGTTACTTTCCAGGGTCGATTAGTTGCGTTCAAAGAATTTCGCGTTCGATATGCTGACTGCGTTCAAAATCGCCAATTGTTGTGCGCAAATACTTTTAAAGACGTAGTATATGGAGTGGTGTTTTGCTGAATCGCAAGCGTTTGGATTTGTTCTGTGTAATTTGTGGACGGCCAGGTTTGCGATGTTTTTCGTGGGTGTTTATGGAGGAATAGCGGTTAGTTTAGCTTCTCCTGAGAAGTTGGTTCAGGTCACTGTGCGGTTAGAAAACTCCGAATGAATCCGACGGGGATACTTACTGTGCAATTCACGTGAATATCACCTTCGTTATGGCAGTCCACACACCGGGAGGGGACTCAGTGGACCAGGGTTCCGCTCCCAATAAAACTCATCATCCTTGACCATTCCGGGATTTGAACTGCAGACATCTGGCATGTGGCTACTCCACCACCACACACCTGACAAGTCTTAATTTTCACGTCCGAACAGATGAACATGTTCACATTTGAGCGACTGTTCGCTTGACCTCTGACCGAGTAGCTGTCCTGCTTGTGTCAGTCAATTAGCCCGCTTATTGGGACTTCCCAGTCAGACAGCGCAACGGATTCCAACGGCGCGAAAGAGTACAGGTTACGAAATGCGGTTGTCCATCAAACAGCACTAGACCATGCTTTTCTTCATGATTTCACTCATAAAATCCCCGGCTACTATGATCAAATGGAATGGAAAGTTTCCATAATAAACTGCCCTATTGATGACGTACGTGTCTTTGCGGCACCGCTGAATAAAGACTGCATTCCAGCTGATGAACTCAGAGTGATAGTCGCATAAAGATAGGACTAAAGTGCACTACTTGTCTGCAGTGCTTCGTTTAGTCTTCAGAACAGAAATTCATCGGTTAAGTTAACCTTAAGAGTATAAGCATAAAGGCTTTTGAGGCATATTATACGTAACAAGTTTGAGGGATCAAATGGACAAGTGTTTTTCTCTGGCTTACCTCCAAACTTGTCCATAGGGAATTACATTTACTTGGTCAAAATTTCTTCTAAACGAATCTTCCTGATTTTGTCTTAGGAGCACAAGAATAAGTTGCGATGGGACGGAGCTCGGTTAGCGGAGAATGCAACTAAACCACTCCTAACTGCGGAGAGATAAGCTGAAAGATTAAAAACTCAGCCTAATGGCTTACGTCGTAATTCGTTTACAAGTCCATTTTCTGTGTTGTCCGTCAGATACATTCCAGTAAGAGATCCCGTTCTATCAGTCAAGCCAATCTGCTTCGAAGAGTCGGGATTTACCGTTCCGACTGTTGTCAATAGTGCAAACATCATGAAACTCCGTAACCTTCCGACCAATGGTTGGACACTTGACGGTTCGGAGACCAGCGGTTGATCAGCTGTGTGGTTAACTCGTACTTAGACGGAATCCACATTACTTAGTCACAGGGCTCCTGGACTGAAGACCTCTTAGATGAGAGTTTCACCCATCTTGTGAAGTTATCCTTTCTCTGCCGATTTCCTATCAGTAGCTCAGAGGGAGAATAATTCACATGAGGAGCGAACATTCCAGATGAAACGTCGTCACTCGGAAATTCACATAGCGTGTGATCACGTGATATGGATGTTGCCTAAGAACGAGTAACCCATATTGATGGTCAGCCGTTTATCGTCGAAAGGTCATGTTCAAACAACTATCCTCGAGATCAGGAGTTCGAGACCCCCAAAGTTTCCTAAGATGTCTAATGCTGACGATCTTCAATAGGAATGGAACAGCTGTGCAGCGCTTCTTGGCTTTTCACAACAGACTGGTTTCACTTACAGCACGAATTCTTCGTTAGAACTCCAAGACTTCCCCACAGTACCAGTTCAGGTGGCTTCGTTTCACAACAGTAATAAATGCGCCTTTGATATTGTCAAAAGGGTACAAGAGATATGTTTTAAGTTTTTGACAATGATAGTTTGAGAAAATTCGCACTGATTAATCACCGTGAATACGCACGCGTGTGCAAAAAGCACATTCTGATTTTTCAGGTTTTGGGCTTACACATTGTTATGAACATCGCCGAACCAGACAGGAAGTGGAACCCATGTTTCACCACCTCGCACTGATTAATCACCGTGAATACGCAAGCGTGTGCAAAAAGCACATTATGATTTTTCAGGTTATGGGCTTACACATTGTTATGAACATCACCGAACCTGACAGGAAATGGAACCCATGTTTCACCATTGACCTCAATATTCGACCACCTGTGCCATGCGACACGTGGAGGGGGATCGACTAACACTCATGCTACTCTCATTCCATGATAAAACGCGCATCCTGGGCCTTGAACAGATTGAAGCTCTTCTCGAGAAATTGGACTGTTTTGGAGAACTACACTCATTTGCAAATCAATTTGGTTTTCACGGGATTTGGGTTCAAGTAGATCATAAGGTTGACCGAAACTCGGGGACTGCGCCTACCTGATGAGCCCGAACTGGAAGGGCAAAACCGGTCGTGGGCTGTCGAAGAGTTTTCAGCAACCTTGTGAGTAGTATCCTTTAGGAAAAAGATTGAAGCTCTGTTGTCAAACGAAATATGTCTCAAGGCTTAGCGTATTCAAGGCCTGATGACTAACCCGTATTTTATTGTTCGTAGTTTTATTCTGCGCTGCAAGCACAAGAGTACTATGTAAAGTATACATCTGGGTACAATGGCAAACATCTGAACTAGAGGGATCTTCCATTTTACGGAGTAGCTAGTCTTACGTACGTGCTAGTTGAGGAATATTGAGATTCTGAGATGAACACAAACATAGAGTAACGGAATTCGGGGGAATATCAATCGTAGACGTCAGTGCTGAAAGGCAGTCATGTTGACGATAATCACGCGACAATAGTTCCAACTCTGATAGTCTCAGTTTAAGTGTCAGGGTTTTATTATCAAACTCCAAATCACATTGGTAAGCTGCGTGAGCTGCATGAGCCTCCGTCACTGTGCAAGAAAGATGCGTGATAATGATTGCTTCTAGCAATCAGTTGGGTCAATTTGAGTTACGCGCAAAGCCCCAAATCGTTCAAACGGTGGTTTATCAACAAACGCGGTACTATGAATACAATAATAAAATAACAAAATTGTATAAATCTAAGATCGTGGGATTGCCGGCTTCTATACACCGGTTTAAGAACTGCTAATTCTTAACAGGATCCCAAAGTTCACATCGCTTCGAGGCAAGGTGGTCACAAGATGGCGAAACCTACGTGTTGATCTAAACAACAGGTACGATGACAAGGTCAAATAGCGGTCTACGTTCAGGTCAAAAACACGAAGGGCGGTGATCGACGCAAAATCGAAACAACAAACTGGAGAATTAAGGGGTATACAAAAATAATAGAAAAAAAGAATCAACACATGAACCGTCGTGGCACATGCTGGCCTACACAACATTTCAGGTATGTGGCATTTCAGATGCTAGGTTGCTCACATGTTGTGAGTTGAAAAATACATAATCGATGTAAAAAGTGAGTGAAATTCAGATGAAAACATCTGCGGTTAGGGTGTCCTGTGACGAGTACCGAGATGCCGAGTGCAGCTCAAAATGAGCAAACACCACTGGACAAAACAAGGGATTCTTGGTATATGAAGACAAGTTCCGTTGATAGAGTTTCAACTACAACAACTTACCTCGTAGCAACTGAATATTGTCGTATTCCAAGAGCCAGTGTTACATGATGATTCTAAGAGAATTGGAAAACAGTCCAGTCGGGACGGATGACAACGAATCACACCTAGTAAGGAACGATGACAGATGTGATAAGGAATCCTGTGGAAACATAAAAATAACATCGTCTTTAATTTCGTTGTGCACTCCACCACGACAGGGAGCTGTTAAACATTAAGCTTCTTTGTATACAGGTGGCTCAGCCTCTTTGGTATTTGTTTATAAAGAAAACATGTTCCAAATGTTCGAAAACCTGAATTCTCAACAGGCTAAATTTTCTGAAGTCCATGACAGTCAATTTGTCCGTCCAGCATCTCAGTTAACGAGATGCAGGTGACTGAGGGAGCAGTACCTTCTATGTTCTAACGCAATCAAAAAAAGAAAGTACCAGCAGTGAAGTTCGTTCTAATCAAAACTCAGTAATAGTGCACACCCGTAGTTGTGCCGGGATTTGAGCCCCAGATTCCTGGCATGAAATACAAGTGTGTTACTGTGCTGAACTTATCTGTATTTGACCAATGCGGTCACTGTTTGCCCAGCGGCTCGATTAACGGCCAGTCACTTGTCCTGAGTATGCGAATCCCACAATATTCGTGTCACTCTCTGGCTTGGAATCCCCGAGAGAGACGTGTCAGCTGACAGAAGCAACCTAGTTATTTAGCCATTGTTCTAGCATTCAGGCAAACCAATCGTACCTGATGTGTGTGTGTGTGTGTGTGTGAACGTTTCCCGCAGTCCGGTCTGGCAGTGGGTGTTTCTTGCATGTCAGCCACACGGGTTTCGAATATAGGAACAGTC